CATTTATATGGCGATTATCATTTGGCCTTAATTTTAAATGTAAATCCACGCAAAACTTTTTTAAATTGTTCATAATAGCGGAATATCGTAAAGAAAACGAAAAATTTGAGTACGATTTTCAATTCGTTCAAATCTTTTTCGTAATGAAGATACGTCTCGATCCGTTATTGCTAAGAAATAATTTTTTTCTGGATCATTTACACATTCGTCCGCTTTCGCCCCTTCGTAATCGAATAAACGTTCCCGTTTTCTTATTCTTACGGTTTTTAATTTGTCGAAATATTAGTTTTTCACAAATATTATTTGCTTCTATTTTAGATTTTAATAAACCGTTCTCTCTAAATTCTTTAAAAAATCCATCAACCTTTTTAAAAGCTTAGTTACTAAACTTAAATGGCATTTAGGATTTTGTACAGTTGTACTTACTGTATCGACTGTCGATAATAATTCGTACCAAATAACTGTAGACGAAACGGATTCAAAATTAATTGCGCGCTGGAGTAAGGAATCCGTTTCGCTTTTTACCCTAGAATCCCCCGTCGCCTCATTTAATTCTTCTAACGCTGCTATAATTTTGCGTAAATCAAATCGACCGTCTACGCGGAATTTATTCGGCCTTCCCGACGCCTATCCGATAATGGTTTTACCGTCGAATGGGTTGAATGTTTCGTTAAAATAGCCCACCCGTAAGCGGACGTGGAAAATAGCGTATACGGTCTGGAAAGTGTTCCAAAAAATATTGTAGCCGCGGGAACCGAGGAGGCCGTATCGCCTGTTAATAAATTTAAATTGCGCGCGGAACGCCACGCGATAAATACTGTCGGATTTTTTTCCAAAATGCTCGCTGGCGCGCCTTTTCTCTCGCCTACCGCCTTAGTCCCGTTGTCGCCAGCTTGTCCGCGGCAAACGTCCGAAGAAATATTTAAAGTTTTAAGTCGTTTACGTAATTCCTCCGATAAATCAAACTCCGTAACTTTTCGGCGCAAGAGAAAAACCGATAAAATAATCGTTTGTTTCGACTTCGTCTCCTTCTCGTTGGTCGGCGTTTCTACCATTCGAACGACGAGAGTCGATTGTTCGTTACCACTTTTACCGGCAGTACGATCTAACTGTACCGCGTAATATTTACTTATCTTTACCGTATTTTTATTATTTCGTTGTTAACTTTGTTTGCCGACGGATTAACTATCTCCTTTTGAATTTTCCAACCTAAATAACCATCGTTTGTTTCTTTATCTTTGATGCGTCTTAATAGTCTGATATGTTCTGCCACTTTTGCAACGAATTTTGAAATTAAACTTAAAAATTTACCGTTATTTTTGTAGAGATTGTCTGATTAGTTCCGCCAAGCGCGTCGTTGTTTTTAGCTAAATATTGTATTCATAATTTGAAGTTTGGACTATTTACAAAAAGTCAAAATTAACTTTTCAGTCCATCTTTATCCTTATTACACTACTATAGAAGTAACAGTCACAATTTTTTTTTTTTTACCAATTTTTACCTGTGTTTTAAGAAGAGTTCTTCAAAGCAGAAAACTTTTTGTGACTGGATCTTCTATGGTAGTGTAATAAGGATAAAGATGGACTGAAAAGTTAATTTTGACTTTTTGTAAATAGTCCAAACTTCAAATTATGAAGAAATAAATCCTGAGTAATCACAAAAATTCTAAATATTGTATACAAATTATAATCTTTCTAAGAACTTCGCGCCCATGTTCCGCATCCGCATTTAATTGTCTCGGACGAAAATCGTCAATTGTTTGTTCTTTTTGCAATTTGTTTTTTAGCTTTGTAAAATCTTTAAGCGATTTTCTATGCTGCGACGATAATTCGCCTTCGTTTAAGCCAGTTCCCAGGCGCTTCCAGTCGGTAACACCTTCGTTTACTAATGCTAAAGACGATCTTGATAATCGATTAGGACATAAATAGCGGTAAAAATAAAATACCTTATCATTTAGTTTTGAATAGAGAAGCCAGTTTCTGCCATCTTTTTCTCCGTTTAAATGTACTTTTGTATAATAAGATACGTTAAATTTTCTACCCAGTTCGTCTGTGGAAAAATCGTAATTTGTTACTCGAACAGCGTTTTTATTAATTAATAATAATCTGATTTCTCGAAGGGTGCGATGGCCGTGTTCCTAGAGCGTCTTTCAACACGCTCGATAATTCTTTAGTTTCCTGGTTTGCGCTGAGAAAAAAATCTTCTCGACCTTCTTCATCATTTATAGCTTCGTCTTCACTCAATAATGGAGTAGTTCTTTCTACGCCATTTGTAACTCTTCTTTACATTGTACGCTAGTGCTAACTATAGGCAGATCGTTTTCTTCCTTATCGGTTTTAAAATATTTTAAAAGACTGTTTGACGACTTTCTAAATCTTTTTTATTTTCGGCACGTTTTCTTTTCTGGTTACCGCTTAAATAATTTCTATTGTTATCACGATCTCTACTCGAACTCGTTGCTAATGCGCTACGTTGTAGAAAAATAGAAAATAACACTTGAAATAAGAAATGAATAGAAAAATAGAGATTAAAAAATAATTGGAAAACCTACTTGTGTCAGTGAAACTTCAATCCCAAGTCGTTGTTTTTTTACACTCTTTCCACTCTGTGGGCCTCTTATAGCGGGCCAACAATGGAGCGACCGGGCCCGACATATCCGAAAAGAAAACCCCCCGAAAAATGCCCGAAGAGTCCTTGACCCGTCCGAATTCGATTCCGGGTCCTCCAGAGAAGTAGGCTGCCACCTCGACCGCTCTGCCATCCGGGCTTCCGATCCCAAGTTTTAAAGTTATTATCACTATAACAATGTTTTTCTCCGCCGTTTTACAGTAACGGAGTGCCGAACGAAGCTAAATTAAAACACCTTAGTAAATTAAGAAAAAGTACCGTTAAACGGCATAAATTTGTCCAATTAAAACATTTATTAGTTACGATATACTCGAGCGTATAAATGTTGTACGCTACGCTAACTACACCAACCTGACTAATCGCCTAGTTTTGTCGGTAGGTTAGGTACGGCCAACTTACAATTTATATTATAAAAACTGTTTTTTTCTTTATTATTTCCATTATTTTTAAAGTAATTATTCTTTCATAAAAAAGAAACTACTAGTAGAACACTAATAAACACAAACACATTCGAATTTATATACATTAAACAGTTATTCTTTTTGTTGATCGTAAAATCAATTAGTAGCGAAGTCGTATCGAGAAATCGAGATTTCCGAGATTTTTCCAGCGTAGCTTACAATTATACTTTAAAATTAAATTTTACGTCGAAATACCAGTCGTAACATTTTAATTATAAAACATTATTACGCCGCATCGTCTTAAGCGCTAGGGCCGGCAATCGAGGCAACCGCCCCGATTGCCGGCCCTAGGGGCGGCTCTGAGAAAGTATTACGATAGCCGAAAATTAGAAGATATATTTTCGGTCGTGGTCTACTCGACCAACGAAATTGTGCCATTTCGTACCATCCGAGTACGGCCATAAACGCCAGTAGACTGAAAACCAAACTCCGTACGCGGTTTTCGTTTTAATTTTCATTATATTTTAAAGTAGGCCTATTTGATTTATATAACTACAAAGGTTACGTAAGAGTTTATGGCACCGAGTGACCAATCTAACGCATTTAAAATATTTTTTATGCTTCTACCGTACGCAGTTTAAAGAATTTTTAAAATGTCTTAGATCGGGTACTGGGCGTGATAAATCCTTAAAAAATTTTAATTTCTTCGTATAAACCGGCTCCATTTATATCGCGATTATCATTTGGCCTTAATTTTAAATGTAAATCCACGCAAAAGTTTTTTAAATTGTTCATAATAGCGGAATATCGTAAAGAAAACGAAAAATTTGAGTACGATTTTCAATTCGTTCAAATCTTTTTCGTAATGAATAGCATTCTAGGCCGTAACCGCCCGACTGGCGAAACTCGGCCGGCATTGCGGGTAACCGTATTTTTCAGTATCCGTATTCGTTTCTTTCTTTAATTAAGAATGGGATTTACCCGCCGACGCCGTGGTTCGGCCACATTATTTCCCCCTTCCGCTAGCGACAATACGCCAAATACTACCCGTTAATACAACGATCGCCTTTCCTCCCGCGTCTGCCGCCTTTATCATTCGCCCGACAACTGCAATAAGTACAGGTATACCTCGACTTACGTCGTTTCGAGTTACGTCGTTCCCGATTATACGTCGTTTGTCAAAAAAGTATATGGAAAAATAAAAATCAAGTTTAAGTCATTTTATTCGACTTTACATCCGTCCGCCACAAATATTGAAGTCGTAATATCACTAGAAAAGCGTTTAAAGCACATAAAAGCATATTAAAATATATACATTTACAAGTATGTACTGTATTTACAGTACAGTACATGCATTCGTAAATTTAGATTACTTTTTTCCGTACTCTATTAAAAACTAAAATTTATTTGTTTGTAAGCTTAAAATAGATTCTTATTAACCATATATTATTAAAAATTTATTAATAAATAAAATACAGAACTGGGAAAAGTAATTTATGGCTTAGCCTAGTGACAAGTAGATTCGGAGACAAGTAAATTCGACTTAAGTCGCTTTCCTGGAACCAATTACCGACGTAAGGCGAGGTATACCTGTAGATATTTAAAGGCCGAGAGAATTTTAACCCGGCTCTCTCTAGCGAAAACGACTGGAACGTCCGCTTTCCAACCGTCGATTTTCTTTATTAAAAACAACGTATCCGAAATTCGAAATCCGCGTTGCGGCCGACACCGGGCGTAACCGGGCCTAGACCCGAAATAAGTATTATACGGTGGCTTTACCATAATTATTTCGTATCGGATATTTTGTTGGTCGGGAATTTAAATATTCAGAATTTCCGAAAATATTTATTACAGAATTGAAAACAGGGAAGAGAGACGTCATGGCCCGATTACGTTAATGTAATTCGAGAAAGAAAATGTGTTTATAGTTTATTATAAAAATCTGCCGTTTAAGCGCTTTTATATCCGGCGTCGACTATAAAATTGCTTTCCCGTACAAAATTGCCTGGTCCCTCGGCCATGAATGCCGCCCGGGTGTTAGCCGTGGCGCTGTTTTGGGCCGCCCTGACGGTCACGGGGGATTTTAACGTATATTGGAACGCTCCTTCCATTATGTGCAGCGAGAACTTCGGCGTTAACGTCACTCGATGGCTGTCGGCGGCAAATGTTTTAGTTAATCGAGGCGAACGCTTCAACGGAGATAAAATCGTTCTGTTTTACGAGAGTCAATTAGGAAAATATCCTTACATTCATCCGATTTTCGGTGACGTCAACGGTGGATTGTTACGGGTGAGTTTCGTTTGGTATTTTCCAAAAATTCCGTCTTGTTTTTTAATTAATGTAACCGTACGCTTTTATTTAATCCACCCGGTTTTATACGAAATCGCTAATTATTCACTCTATTTCAGCTATTTTTCGAAAAAACATATTTCTGAAATTTAATTTTATTAATTAAACTTCGAAATAATTTAAGATTCGAAGTAAAATTTTGTACGTTTCTCTAATTCTCCGTATTAAATTGCCAGACACAGAAAAATCAAAAACGAAAGAAATAATCCGTCTTATATACGAGAAAGATTTTAACTCGTACGTACGAAATCTTAAAGATTATATTAATAATAACGGCTAAAATACGCAATGCCGTTAAAAATATACAGGTTGTTGCAAAAGATGCTTAACCACCGCCAAGACCGAATCGTTGACTTATGAAAACGAATTTAAAGAAGGAACGTCGTTTTAAATTGGGTTCGCGATTCGTGCGTATCGTCAGGCGTCGGGCTGCTTAGGCTGTTCTTTCCGAATCGACGCCCCGTGGCTCCAAACAACTACAATGCCGACTCGTTTTGCCTTCCGTGTATTGCATTATTGTTTCTGTCCGATTTACGTTGCCATTCCCGTGGAGTTGGCCACCGACGTGTTTGCGTGGATAGTCGTACGCCGGAAAGATGGATCCCGACGGTTGAAGGGCGACGTAACGTTTCCCACACACTGCTTCGACCCTTGACGGATAGACGGGCGGCTGGACCAGCCGATCAGCCGATTGAATCGTACTCCGTTCGAATCAATCGGCTGATCGTCGAATCCTTTGGAACCTTTGCTCAGAGTCGACTGATCGGTAGATAATTCTTTTGCCTGGCTGCAGTGTGAGAGTAGCCTATAGCTCCCGGGAGTCTTTGCTTCGTAAGTAGGTGTTGCTTATGCACACTGTTGCGCATTCCCTCCTTCGGCTCGATCGGGGTATAATCACTGGGAGCTGTACTTACTTTTTTAATCGTGGAGGTATTAACAAATAATAAATGACTCCGTGCCTGGACCTATTCGCACAAGTTTTCTGATTTTAGACTCAAATACGTTGGGGGCTCGATCTCCCTTTCTAATCTAAAACTTGATAAAGTCTATTGCAATCCTTAGAAAATTCAAAAACTAGGAAACAGTATTAGTGAAGCAATATGAGAATAAAGATTTTAGGAGATATTCCAATTTCTGTTTCTTCACATACCACACTGGGTTATTTTCGTGGAGCGATATCGGGAAATGATCTCTCCGTGCCAAAAGCCTCGAGTCTTGACCAGCTGTCCGCTCGAGGCGTAGTGGCAGTCTGTCGAATTAACATTCGTCGAGACGGGCAACAGATCTCCTCGATGATCGTCATTCTAACATTTAACACCTCGAATTGCCTTCTTTTGTAATTGCGCGATACTTACGATGGACCGGTCCGTATATACTGAATCCGCCGCTCTGTCATCAATGCCAACGGTTTGCCTATTCAAAGATATCGTGCCGCGGCACCAGTCTCCGTGCCAGATGTGATGGTATTTTTATGTTTTTCCAGTGCATAAAAGTACCATACGTAGTCAGGGGCGGATTTACCTCTTTGGAGGTCCCAGGCGCAATTCAATTTTGAGGCTTTTCACTAAATATTTTCACTACCCCTACACCGTACAGTGTGCGTTCTACGCGCACGTTTTTTATTCTGGTATACACTATACAGCTGGCCCAAAAACAGTGAGACATTGGGAAATACTATTGAAAATTAACCAATATAAAATTATAACTACCTGGCTGTATTTAAAAGGTTACTGATGTTCAGATTGTATTAATTATGAAAATTGAAACTTATTAGTACAAAAATGATTACGTTTCAATAGGTAAATGTGTTAAAAACAAAAAAATCTAGTAATCCAGGGACATAAAAAATAATTTATTTTTAAATTTAAAACTAATTACCATTCGCAAAACATGTCATAAATGGCGTTATTCGTTTGTCAATTTAATTTAGGGAATACTGCTGAATTATTAATTATTTTATTATGAAAAGAAATAATAATTAAATAAAATAAATTTTTTTTTTGAAAGCTGAATTTTGAGGCACCTTCGATTTATGAGGCCCGTGCAGAAATCCTCCACTGCGTGTAGTACTGAGCCTCGTTGCGTGAACATTACTTTTGCCGAGGCCAGAAACATAACGGTGCCTCCTATGTCACGCCAGCGGACTTCTTACGTCACTGCCGTAACTAAATCTGTCAAATCTATCGCTGTTCAAAAAGTACTTCTGTATCACCACATAAATCCCCTACACGACATCGGCGAGGCTCGATAACTCAAACTGATGCACATTCGAAATAGAACACGCCACCTAAATCCCCGAACTATACCAAACGAACCCTCTTAACTTTTTAAGTGACAGCAAAAAAAGAGTAACGGCCGAAAATCTCCGAGCAACATAATAGTCTTTAAAGATACGATAATATCTGATAATCCACACTCCTCCTGTGAGTTTTTAGACTACTCTGAAGCCGAAAAGGACACGGATGTAGTGTCCACGTCGGAGAAAAGTTAAGGAACGTGCTAAACATTCACCGTCTAAATGACCAAAAGAATTCTGCTGTTTTAACTCTGTCTTACGAGACACGTTTTATGTTTTTTCTACTCTTACCGGTTTTGTTCTCGTTGATTGATTTATTCAGTTTTTATTGTTCTTTCAACAGTATTATATTATATTTGTTGATATAGTTTTCTTATTTTAGCTCATCGTGAGTGATCATTTTGTCACGCACGTATATATTTACTGCTTTTAAGCTGTTTTTTGTTGTTTTTTTCACTTTAACGCATCAATGTATTATGTTGCGTATTGGTATTTTATATTTTATTTTAACTGCTCCCTTTACGAGTACCGTTTACACTTGTATGTTTATTTACAAATTTTACCATATAATTGACTCAGCATGGCCCGCCAGGCTCTCGAACCACAAAACAACAATAAACCAAACCAAAGCAATGGCGCGTACCGAAACGGACGAAACAAAACGCGGTAAACCGAGATTTTGGGCCACCGTGTTACGAATCTGCAATTGTTTTGTTTTTCAGAATGCGGACTTTTCGGAACACGCGAAAGCTTCGAGAGAAAGTATCGAAAAGGTTATTCCAAATAGAAATTTTCGAGGAATCGCCGTCATCGATTGGGAATCGTGGAGACCCATTTGGGAAACTAATTGGCTCGACATGACCGTATACAGAAATAAATCGATAGAACTGGAGAAGGAAAAACATCCCGGTTGGAAACTTCGGGACGTCCGGCGAATGGCTAAAACAAGTTGGGAAAAATATGCTAAGTACAAAAATTTATACCTAAATAATTACTCTATAGTGACAATAGTTATAGAACTTGAAGGATTTATGTAAATTAATTTTTAATTTGTCTAAAAGACAATTTAGTGGTATAACTCTAAATCAAAATAATATGACGAAAGACGGCTGAAAATGGTTTTTTTTTCACTCAACAAATATTACGGTTACTCTTATGCACGAAAGAAAGACGATATTCATTTTATATTGAAGGCTTCGGCGCGGGGATGCAATTTTTGAACAGCCGCAGATAATTCCTTTTTTCCTACTGCCTTTGTCTACTACGCTTCGGTTTGCACCGGCGTAATAGAAAATAGTCCGATGGGGACAAAACTGGCCAGTGAGAGCAATGATAGAGTGGGGCTGTTTCTCGTGTCGAAACTTGCACGTTTGTAATCCGGCGCGTTATTCTGCGACAGGGAAAAGTTCTAGAAACCAAACGTGACGAATGCGTTTCGGGCGACGATCCGATACTTTACAAAACTCCGCATTTGCTCTTCTCCCTTCAGGAACGAATAATTCCTAAACCACGCGTTATCTGTCGGCCGGATAATCGAAGTCGTAGGACCGATGAAGTAAGGCGACCTGGCGCCAGGACGATCTGCCCGGAAGGAGATGCCTTCCGGAGGACTTTCTACGGAAAACTGACCTCCGTTTACGTGTTAGACGCCCGAAAAAAATCCGAGAAATTCCATCAGATTAGTCCGTGGGTCAACTGCCAACCTTCCGCCCAGACTGGCCACGAGTTCGGTTGTTTTGTCCATTAGGCTACTGATGAGCCGTCCGGACGTTAAAGAGGACCTATCGCTTTGGGAAACCGGGAATCGAACCCCCGAGAACTTCTGTGATTTTTCGTGGGCCTTTGCCCCGAAGACTATAGCCAGGTCGAGGCCGAAGTTTTAAACGCGAAAACGCGTACGTCGGACGTTCGGCGCCGCTTTCCTTTAAGCCTAGAAGTTTGACGACGGAGTTTGAAATGTCGAGCGTGATTCCACCGACTATCGTTTAAAACTTCTAGGCTTCCCGCAAGGCCGAAGTTTTAAACACGACGTACACGTTTTCGCGTTTAAAACTTCGTCCTCGACCTGGCTTATATGACGGGAGCGCAACGTCGCCGTCTTCCGCTCTTTTGGGAGCCCGGAAAGAAGATCCTCTCGGTACTCGCGGGTGGAAAGAGACATAAATGTAACACAAAAGATCTACGACACGTCTCGCCAGTCGAAAAAATATCGATACTCTTTAGATACGTCACGTTTGAAATTTTAATTTTTTCGGTTTGGGAGATGTCTCGCCATCCCTATACAACTATCTGGACTTCGCGACGGTAAGCGAAATACGTTTTTTTTTTTTTTTTCCGCAATGATTTTATCAGAGAAATTTCCTTCGGCATTGGCCGCGACGACGACGTAGTGTCAATACGCGATTCGACCTTCTCTTTGCTGGGTTGTCCGGGCGTGCGCTAGGAAGCGTGCCCGCGCCTTACTGTTCCTTAGTTGGCTCCCATGTCTCTACACGAAAAGTTAAGTCCTAAAACGTGTAAATCGCGCTACGCACTTCCCGTTGTTCATAAACAATTGTATAACAGGAAATAAAAAATAAACGAAACGCGTTGGTAGTAAAAAATACGATAGACGCATACATATCTATCTGAAAATAAAATCAAAGTTTTTTTGCCATTGTCGATTCTTCCCGTGATTAGACGAATGTTGGGCAGTTTTTATCGACATATCAGAGAAAAGGCTAAGGTAAAAACTCGAGATTTTTATAAAAGTAACGCAGTAACACTCTTGTAGTATGAAACTTTGCGTTTACCAATATATATTTTTAATCTTTATTTAAGATTTTCTTTGAAATTGATTATACTTTTACTCTAGAAAATGGATGCTGAACACTTTGAAGCTGGCTCAAAGTATGAGACCTCACGCTCGATGGTGTTACTATAACTTTCCCGATTGTTATCACGGCGTCGGCGAAAATCGATCTTTCCCGTATTTGTGCAGCGTTGGCACGCGGAAATCAAATAATAAGTAAATATTTAAATTAATAGTGATTACCGCTATTTAAATAATCGCGCGATTTATATTTATAGATTGTCGTGGTTGTGGGATCAGTCGAGCGCCATATGTCCTTCGATATACGTACGAAAATATCACGTGGAAGAGCACGACACGCTTCGAAGATCGTGGTGGACGTATTCGCGACTTCGAGAAGCTATGAGAGTGTCGCGTAATGCACCCATTTATTCTTATATTAATTACATTTTTCCGGGAACGAACGAAACTCTCCCAAAAGTGAGTTTTGAAAGAATTGCAGAATTTAAAGTCGAAATTAATCTCGTCTAACATTTTTGTATCGGATTTTTAAAGGAGGATTTCAAACGCCTGCTCGGACAAATCGCATCGCTGGGTCTGGACGGCGCCATTATCTGGAGCTCTTCGTTTAACATGTTAAGCAGAGAATTGTGTCAACGGATGTTAAAGTACGTGAAAGAGACGGTAATTCCCGCAGTTTCCATCGTCTCGTGGAATGTCAATCGTTGTAGCCAAACCATGTGCAAAGGAAGAGGAAATTGCCTGTGGCGAGAGGATCTTTTCACTTCGTGGAAACGTCTGAGTGACAAAAAGATACAAACTTTCGATCGTAATAAAGTCGTCTGCAAATGCAGAGCGTTTTCGGGACGTTATTGCTAATATTAACTTTAAAAAACTAAAGTAATATTTCAAGTTTTTGTGGCGGATAATTTTTCTTTATAATTTACTATACAACGGGCGTTGTAATTCAAATTATATGAAAAGCGCGAAATATTTATTGGCTTCGTAACATAATATTAAATAGTAATGGAAATAGCATTATATCGGAGTTGGTTTTTATTTTTTTAATTTTTACACACAATAGCTGAAGTCGTCATTGACCCGAGATTACGCCTCCGACTGTAACGTTACAAAAGAAAATTCCTTAAAATGAAAAAGGTAACAAATAAAATTAATAAGCGAGTCCTAATCCTCCCCGAAGCCAGCTCTATACCGGAATTGCCATTATACGAATCACAATAACACTTCGTAAGATAAGAGAGGAAGATTGATGTGTGTAAATTTCTTCAGTAGCGTAAAGAAAAAGGCAACTTCGCCATTAACCTATGCGAAGTTTAGCCTACTTTTAGCTTTACAGTTTATTATGAGAAATCGTGTCGATTGAAACGATTTCGATTATGCTATTTCAAACGGCATCAGTCCCTACATATTAAACAAACCGAAATTGCCCGATTAAGAGTAGGTTACGTAGGACCTGGAGCAAATAGTTTCCGGGGCCTATCGTTTAAATTTATATGTCTAGAACAAAAGCGAAATTCACAAACAAAACTAGTTGCGGAGGGAAAAAAATATTAGCTGATTTTATAATAAAGTGAAACAGAACACTAAAACAGAACATTCTTTCAAAAATTTATTTCTACTTATTTCTACTTATTTATGTTTTCCAAGTTTTCAGTTGCAAATTTTGTAACTTTGCCATCGAATTCTATTTGTGCCAATAATTTTTAACATAAAGCGATGAGATCCGGTTATAACTCTCTATTATCAATGAGTCTGTCAAAATATTACTACACAATCGGGACATCCTGAGTATTCGATGCTACCGGGTAAAAGGACATTTCGACAATATCTGGAATGACAGAGCTGGTTTCTTAGCAAAGGAAGCTCCCAATAAGACCAAACCACGCCCGTACTGCCATACCACACTCTCGGATCTACAAGGCTACGATAAACTTGATTAAAACCCTGCACAATTTCCAAACCCGGATTTCTAGAATCAACTACCCATAGGCTCACGGGAACCTTCATTCCTACAAAAACTGCAATAATAAGCTAACCAATATTGATTAAGCATACTGTCTGTTTTTTCCCCTCATTCCGTATATATGGGCATTACTTATGTAAAATTAGTTCTTAATGTACACCTTCTGATAATACTCACCCCTGCGCGGGATTTAAATAAGTATATGGTATAATAATCGGAATGGGGTGGCCGAGGTTCTTTATTTTTTACCCATTCCACTTTTCCTCCCTTCCTCTCTCCTTTTCCCCCTTCTCCTTCCTTCCCATTGGCTATACCACCGAGTGCGGCCAATCATCCTTCTCCTAGATATATTAATAGATGCGACTCCGACGATCGAAGATCATTTCCTTTTATATTTTTGAGAAAAAGATAAGGAATAAAATATTTCCAGGCTGATCGATTGCTCGAACCATTGAGTTTCAGCAACATTTTATTCGTTAAAATTATACTCGGAGAATAAAAAACAATAAGAATTTCCAAGTTCTGTTTGTTAGAGAAGAATTTTAAAAGTTCTAAACCAAAATTAGTGCTTTGAAGTTTTTCATCTAATTCTACCCGGTGTTGGATACGAAAATAGTCTGTGGACTCCGCGCGGAATAGGTGAAATTTCATTTATTCGTGCCGTTGCGATTAATTACAAAGTGCGAAAGCATTTTCATTTGGAACGTAATGCAAAATAGGAAATACTTTAAACGATAACAAATACTCGAAAACTTCTACGGCACAATTAAATGTAGGGAAAACTTATGTTTTTCTGGGTTTAAATTTGAGTTGGAGTGGACGACTAGGATTAAGAGTAATTCTGAAGTAGAGTGAAATGGTTTCGTCCCCGCATTCTACCTTCGAATTTCTTAAGATAGTTGCCAGAATCAGCTTAATTTCCATCATGGCCAAGCGATATCCTGTAAGAAATAATCGGACGCGTTAATCACCGTACACACCTATTAATCATTTCTTAATTTTACTTTATTTGCCGAAGTTTCTCACCCAGACACATCCTGGGACCCGCCGAAAATGGAATATAGGAGTAAGGTTTGCGTTTGGAAGAATTTTCGGGAAGAAATCTATCCGGGTCGAAAATATTAGGATTTTCGTAGACATTCGGATTGCGATGAAGATGGAAGATGGAAACAACAAATATCCAGTCTTTGGAATAGACTTTATCTCCTGAAAGAATAAGAATCAAAGTTTCCTTCTCGAAACGGTAGAATTTATAACAAAGTTAAACATTATACTTCTACTCCCAATCTATAAAATAAATCTATTGTTTTCTAAGGCTTAAAATTGCAAAAACTTTTTATACGAATGAATTATTATTATTTCATTTCGGATGTTCGATTGCAGGACGGGACGAAAGTCGATTAGCGGAAGACGTGTCATTATAATTCCTCTGCACTATTAAGAGTGATAAATTTATAGTGTTACTTTCGTATCTAATTTCAGAATTTAATCCACCGTTTCAAATTTCTAGAATTTCTAAAAATCAAAATTTAAAAACACATTCCGCAGTAAATAACTTTGCCACACGTTTAACGACGGAGAAATACGCCTTTAATTTCCTTTCGCCGAAAAATGCGCGTATAATTGAAAAATATTCTTCCTTACCAAAAACTATAGATTTGTTGACTTTCCTAGAGATTATAGGAGCGGGTGAGTAAAGCCTCATGGTCTCCTACAAAAACATAATATAAATAAATATATGTATTTCTTAATCCTTATCTAGGTTCTTAAAAATATATATGTTCTAATTCAGACAAATTAAATAAACTTGTAATTTAGAAATAATAATTTTTTTATAACGAGAGGCGAGACAAAGCTCGACACGCACGAAAATGGCGACGAAATGTACCGTACAGTACATCAAATATAACGTGTCGTTTCAGCGTTAGTCGACGAAACTATAACTGCTCTAATTTAATTTCTTTTATAATCAAACGAAAGGCTTAAGATGTTTCTTTATTAATAAAAAAGCAGACTTAAAAATTTGATTTTCTGTTGGTAAAAATATTGATTTTGTAGGGAAGGGGATCACCAACTCGGAGAAAAATTCCTAATCCCTTTTTCGGGATTGCCCCGTTCGTAGTCGTAACGTCTATTCTAAAAACGCGTCATCCGCGAGTGTTATAATCAGGGCTGTGGAGTCGCGTAAAAATCTACCGACTCCTACTCCGACAAAGGGCGGACTCGTTACCGAAAGAGACCCGGAAATTCTGATGTCATCGCGTGACCTCAGCATAAAAAATTCAATAAATAGAATTGTAATAAAGATAGAACGTAGAAAGTTTTTATTCCTAAGCTAAAATACTCCTATAAGTAATATGTAAATATGTATTCGATAATTTTTACTTTTCCGGCTGTTATATATAACAGAGGAAAAGTGTAGCGCTCGGTCGTAAAATGACCCCTCCCAAATGTTTACATTTTTGGACTCGGGACACCTCGAAATTTCGAGATATACAAAAGATTCGAAGGTTTTTTCTATATGTGTGGTGGATGTTATACTGTGTGTGAGGGACGTGATTTGTTCACTCCGTTTGAAGCCTAATAATTTCTGTGGTCGGAGTGGTCGGAATCGGAGTCGGATGGTTTAACGCAGGAGTTAGTTATTTAGCGTCAAAGTGGTTGAACTAAATCGTGTCCCCATATACATTCTAACATCTTAAGCCAGAACGTCTTAACGGGTTTTACTGTACTATTATAAAATGCAAAAAAGCTTACTTTCAGGGTAAAGACGAGTTTTATTTATTTATTTTTTTAATTTTGAACGTTAATAACGAGTAAAATATTAATTAAGATGACATACGACCATTTTTATGTCTTCACCCCGTCGACCTTTTATTAAGAACCAAAATTTAATAGTATTAATGCCCCTTTATACGCGAGCTACAGTGCCATATTTCGTTTCTTAAACTTTACCCGTTCTGAGATATTGTTTAATATCTCGAAACAGAAAATAAAGAAATTAAACAAATTAGACACAAACACACACGCACGCGCGAATTTTTCCCCTTTATTGACTTTTTTGAGAGGTGCGGGAGGTCTCCGAACGTGTAGATTTGCAAATTAAAAAAAAAAAAAACTTGGAGGGTCAAATTTGACACGATTCCAATACTTTTCCGTTTTATATACATAACAAGTTGGGAAGTAAAAAGGAGTCGGAGTCGTCGGAGTTTTTGACGACTCCGACTCCGACTCCGGCTAAAACACCAAAACTGCACGACTCCGACTCCACAGCCCTGGTTATAATATCTACAAAATTAGCCGTTTTTAAGGACGTAGCCAGTTAAATTGTTTAACGGTTGCTAACTATTTAAAAATTAATTTACCAATAGAACTTGTCAACTTTTTTAATGTATTAAAATTATAAAATGTACGATTATTTTTATAATATTTAAAGTTATATACTGTATATTATAGACAAGTAATTATAAACGATGTAGCGGATATTTAAAAACAATTCTTACCTTTATAACGCATTCCATGTATTTCATTTCGTATAAATCCTCGTTTGTGATTGATCGATCGGTGTCGGTTCCAAATATGGCGTCCAACTCTTCGTGGACTTTCTTTTGAATATCTTCGTTTTGACTTAATAAGTACAACGTCCAGCTGACGGTTAACGAAGTCGTGTCGTACGCCTAACGTTTAAACATACAATTTCAATACCATATGCCGATTTAAATATTAATATATTATAATTTTTATTATACTAAATTCGACCGATATATAACTGTACCCGAATAATGATAATCACCGTATTGTACAGTACGTAATTAAGTTGTATTTGAAGTTTTTGGGCCCAATTTGTAAAGTCGAAAAGCCGGATCGAATAAATAATTGATTGATTGATAATTTTTATTAGTGTTGCAACGAATAGTATATTCGGCCTCGGGCCGAATACCGAATATTCGGCCAGGAGCGTGGCTGAATAGCCGAATATTCGGCCAAACTATTCGGCTCGATGAACGCACATACGAAACTTGGCGCGAAAACCGCATCACGGGGAGAACCCCGCTCTCTATTGGCCCGCGTTAATTCTTGACAGTTGTAGCGGACAGACAAGAGCGTCATGGAAGTATGCGATAAATAATGATATCAAATGTGGATAACAACGAAATGACCTACACGTGTAAATAACGGAAAAAAAAACAGAGAAGGACCGCGAAGTGAAAATGTGAAAATAAATATGAAATTGAATCGTTAACATAATCGAACAAGTCGAGGCAGCATATTGGCACGGAATTCGCGGCCGTCAATGCCAAACAATTGTCGTCTTAGACTTCGGAAAGCTAAATACTTGTAATTAAAGTGACTTAGCGTGCACGGGCGAAAGCCTCGGACCGTTCGGGCTACCGAGCTGTCTCGAATGTGCGAAATCGTAACTGCGATTTATACCGACGTCCTATCTCTGTCTTTTCTCCGTTATCACCGGGCTACGAGTCACGTAATTGTAAAATGGGAAATCTACGACGGAAAACTGACGAATGGAAAGTATCGCGAGAGCGTATTATGATGTACGCGTAGGCGTACGTGGACTAGAGCGATAGAGGAAAGAGAAACGAAAGAGCGAAGACGAGCGCTTAAAACGAAGGATAGGCAGGGTCGGACCCTCGGATGTGCGACGATTCTCGAACGAATAGGTGTGTACAGTACGTGTGCCGATCTTTGTAATTATAAATTGTGAATACACGTGACTAATATTATTTGCTTTTTTATTTTTTGCGTGTTATAAGTTATAAATAAATATAAACAAACAACACTAACCCGATAACATTAAATCTAAATACCAAAATGATTAATTTACTGTATTTTTGTTATTTCTTACTCCTGTTTCTAGGTATTCGGTATTCGGCCCAATAGTGAAAAACAGGCCGAATAGGCCGAATATCGAATAGTAACCGAATATTCGTTACATCACTAATTTTTATACGTATTAGAAAATATTGACTAGAGCGTGGGAATTGTTACGTAAGCGTGTCGAGATGACGCGCTTAGATAAGAATTTCCAACAAAAAACAAAATGTTTATATAAAATACGCAATTTCCACTCGTTCTCATCGTGTATACAGAATGGTGCGAGAAACGTATACCGAGTTTAATATTTTATAGTAACTAAACGTCGAAAACGTGGTACATTCATCTTGCTGGAATATTATTCGACGTCATTCGAATTATAATATGTCCTACGTACGGTAATTGCCTTAGACTCGGACATTGTGGAAAAACTCGCGGAGAATTGAGTGAAACCGTACTCCGAAATTCCAAACCTTTGGGTCTTTTTATTTACATATATCGAGGATAAAAGCGTCAAATCTTCCAGACTTTTGAAAGAGCGAGTGGTCTATCGAGTGGAAATCTTCGCTAATTGGAAAGACCACTCTCGTCGTTCAATTGTAGTAAAATACAAAATTTCGCAGCTTCCGTACCTTTCGCACCCATATATAAATACTATTATTTAGAGGAGAAGGTGACATTATCGGAGCCCCTCCATTTCAGACCGATAATAGAGACGAACTCTAGCAAATTGTGGCCGAACTGCGCTAGGCAAACACCCATAGCCAGGGGAGGACGCCTCCCATTTCAGTTACGAGGTTGCGCTGGACGAAACGGGACGTTTGCGTTTTTCGCAATTCCAAACTTCTGAATGGTAAGTGAATTTAATTATTTTAAAATATAAATCGTGTAGTTGTAGGTTCATCGGTGCGCGTGTCCCGTTCTAGAAGCCTAGGGGTACAGTACAGTACCCGTTAATCTGTCTGATACATTTTTAAAGTTTCGTTTCGACAAAAATTAAGTTAACTCAAGATGGTTCTGTTAATACGGAATCCGACTCCTCTGGGGTTTCGTATTAGCCACAAATTCAAACCGTGGAATGATTTTTGTAAAAGTATGTGGTGGATGAATGAAAAAATAGAAAGTAAATGAAAAAAATTAGAAATATATACCTAAAACTATAAATAAAGTACATCTAGCAAAATTCTGAAGTTATTTCGGTTAAAAAACTGTTCTGGATAGATAAGTGTTCTTTTAAACCAATTTTTCCTAATTGATATTTCTTAAATTTTCATATGCCTGGAGCCCGGCCGAACCAGCCAAAAGAAATCCCGAAGAGTCAAACACGGAGCCGGGAAAAAATGGCAGAGGCGGCGAATACGGTAAGGGACAAGAAAGTGGGGCCGAAGAAGCTGCAAAATTTTGAGGTGCCAAAAACCATTTTGCCAGCTCTCTCTTTGCCAGCAGACATTCGTCCGGATCAATTTGCGAAAAAGACACTAGGTAGAAAGCCAATTCTTCCCGAAAATATCGAAAAAGAGCTGCTGGAATATATATTGTTGACGGAGGTCACATTTTTCTATAATTAAAATAATTTTAATATGGAGCTTTTAGTCCAGAAAACCTAATGAACTAATATGAAACGAATAAAGTTTTTTTCTTTCTATCGGCTAGGTTTGTATTCACTTACATACAGAATAAATAACTGAACAATACTGAAAACTTTACGGAAAATTACGTGTCGGGTGGTCCAAAATTCAGTTAATCGCATTTTGTTTTTGCGGGTTCCAGTTTCAGAAATATCGGACGGCGATACAGATCGACGCCATCGAATTGCGAAAATGCCGGAATTTCCGAAAAACCGAATCTAGTATAGAATTTCCAAGTTTATTTTATAAAAGCTGGGTTAAGTGACATTTCATCCACCGTATATTTAATATTATAGCAAATATATAAATACCCCGAGACGGAATTTCAGTCGAATCTGTTCGATTCCAGATTTTATAATCCGATATAAAATATACTGCACTTACGGCGCCCAGAAAAAATTCGATTTCTTCGCAGATGCTTTCCACCGTCAGTTCCGGGTTGTTATCTCTCGCATCCAACAGGAAGTCCAATATGGATTTTGGGTTTTCGTTGTTTTCCATGCCGCTTTCTTCGCCTTCGCGCAATTTGATCTTTTCGGCGATCATCTAGAAAGAAAACTAAAATTTAGAAATATTTCTTTCAAATTATTGCCGGACTCTGAGAGTTTTCTACCAACCTGTCTCGTTATTTTTCTTAAAATTCTCTTGTTCTTTCTAAATTTTCTTCCTTTGGGTGTTAAATAAAACAAGAAGTCGAACAAAAGGAGAAGATTAATCGCTCTGTCGGCTACGGGATGAAACGTCCTTAAAAAGAAATGTGACGTGTTCGAACGTAAAATTAGAATACGAAATCTGTAAATATTTCGAAATCGCGAAAACGTAAAAAGTTTTAAATTATTTAAAAAATAATATTTGAATTCTTTCTTTAAAATCTTATTCCAACGTTTACACAAATTACTTTTCGTTATCGATATTGATACAATAAACATTGTTTAATACGCGTGTATAGTGTAATCGTTGAGTTTTCTTATTAGTAGTTATTTTAAAAACAAATAAAAACTTTTCTATTATTGTATGCGACATTTATAATTATAACAACGAGTCGAATAAAGGGGAGTGAATCCGAACACTACGAATTGGAATTTGTGTTCTCACCGAGTGAAAGAGACAACGAGCAATTATTTTATTGTCACGCGGTCGCAATGGATTGCAATTTTTTAATCATATTTTTAATTTATTTAACTTAAGATACGTGTTCGCCACCTCAAATTACAAGTGGCTCGTCCCCGTACGTCATACTTTTTCTTTAGCAGTCGATTCGTGTCGGCCATCTATCTCACTCTTTTTGGAGAAAAACTTTTAAATTGAAATAACGTGACTTCCGGAGTAAACCGGAAAGGCGTATATAGTTAATCGAGGCCTGCTGCCCCTAATCTTTGCATATCTGGTCTCGGTTTTCGTGTATCCGACTCCTTTCTCGGGATTAAGGAAGGACGGAACGGGCAAACGAAGACGGACGACAGTGGAAATTTATAGGTGTGTAATTTGTTTGAATTGTAGCCAGATAAGGATCGCATTCCGATTCGCTCGAGCCGAGATAATTATACAGTAGCGACATTTACGCATCAGTTGATTACAGTAGAGCGTCGTTTATCCGAAAGCTGGTTATCCGAAACGTCTGTTATCCGAAAGCATTCCAGTCGGCAAATTTAAATTTTCGCTAGTGCTATGGCGCTGCAATCTTCGGCTATTTCTTGGGTTACTCAAATATTTTACGTTTTTGATACTAAATTAACATCTGAAGTATAATTTTTTATTGTTTTTATATGTTTGTACAAAATAAAAAAATAATTTTTAACGATACAATAGTCTTCGTTAGGCTTAACATCGACGAAAATTCAACGCGAAGCGACACGCAACGGAGAAAAATTTCAACATGGGACAAATTAATATATTTTTTCGTACATGATTCGTTATCCGAAAAAT